TATATTGAGCGCATCGAAAGATTGCGGACTGGATCATAAATGAAATACAAGGCTGAAAAAGGTCTCTAAATTTCAAATTGTTAGCACGAACTAACCAGTGAAAAGTCTGGAGATGTTAGGGAAATTTATCTAACGGCGCTAAAGTTGTTACTTGCTAAATATCAAACTTTATTACTGCTATAAAATTATAGATTTAACTTTGATTGGAAGTGTACATTGAAAAAAAAAAAGAAATACGTCGCCAATTTTCATTTTAACTAAAGAAGGCCACAATGTTGTTATCATCGTTTTATGGAAAGATTGTCACATGTGCCTGGCTTCAACTGGAACATCATCATCTGTTTATTTTTCGGAGCGCGCCAGATCAAAGAAGTTCAAATGATTCATCAATCTAATCGCTACCCCGATGGGGTGCTAGTCAATTGCAGGGTGCTCCTTAGCATTCTGTCAGGTTGCCTCCACAGATTGCTGTTACCCATTTATACCCCTGGGTGGAGAGAGGCACTTTGAGAGTAAAGTGGCTTACCCAAGAACACAACGCAATGAGGAGAGGTAAAGCCCAAACCCAGACCACTCAATACTGATTCCAGCGCACTAATCGTTAGGTCACGGCTCCTCCAACACTCCCCACAGCTAATAGACGTAAAGCGCAGAAAAGGACATCTGAAAAATTAAGCCCAGCTGAACAGTTTTTTAATTAAAGACAAGCATTTTCTTACAGGCTAAAAGCAGTTTAAACAGCCTACATAGGTTACCGTAAACAAGGTTAAAACTTCTGTTATAAGCGCATAACATGATACAAGTACAATAAAAATGTTTGTTAGCTATTGTCTATGTTCTTTTAAGAAAATAAGGCTTTAGGCCTTACAATAAGGCTGTTGGATTATTCAGCCTTTCAATACTACGCCTATTCTTTAACTATCCAGTTTTACACTGCCAAGACTTCTTCAACCCTTTTAGTGCTTCCTTAATTTGAATTAAAATCTTAATTCTCACAACTGGCATTATAAGCAAACTTTTCTTTAAAAACTGGTTCAGAAAATTTGCTATTTCAACGAGACTACAATTATTTTCGTCACTTTTTTTCTTTCGCCTGTCTTTTGACTATTTGAACAGAGAAATTAGA